CCTCCTCAACCTCTCTTTCAGTGCTGGAATCTGAACCAGGTCCTTGAGTATGTGAGGCAAAGGTTCTACAGATGAGCTATGTCCCTCTTCCTGTTAGTCTTGGGTGTGTGGGGGTCAATGAACCCCTTTTTCTGTTCTTCCTAAAGTGATTGTCCTTTATGACTGCTATCTCTTTGGTGTACAGGGACAGGTGGCTAGTCTCTTGGGACTCTGGAGCCTTGGCTGAGAAACACGAGCATGCTGGGAACAAGCCTGCTCCTAAAGTGATTTCCTATCTGAGTATGCACAGGCTTCCCACACAAACCTGCAGGCTGCCTTTAGGATGCCCAGGCCAGTGCTCTTCTTCCTTGCTTTTAGTTGTGGGCTTTCGGCTCTGCGCTTACCAAGATGTGACCCATTGCATTTGGTTACAGGATCACAGTCTTAGGGTAGCTTCAGGACTCAGAAAGGAGGGAGGGAGGGAGGGATGGAAAGAGGGAGAGAAAGACAAAGGAAGGAAAGAAGGAAGGAAGGAAGGGAGGGCAGAAGGAAGGGATAAAGGGAGAGAGGAGACAAAGAAGGAGGGAATAGAAAAGAAAAAGAGACTGGAGAGACAGCTGGTTTCCCTTCAACACTGATGATCCTGCTTCTAAACTGATAAATGTGCGGTGCCACTAGGCTAATTCTTACACTTACCAGGTAGGATGAGTATTTTAATCTCATCACGTTCTTATTTATGGTACGCCTGCTTGCTGGGATGGGGTGTGTGCAACATGGGACTCAGTTCTTTCCTTCCTAATTGTGAGTCCCAGGAATTGAACTCAAGACTTTAAACTTCGAAGCAGGCACCTTTACCTGAGGAGCCATCTCACCAGCCAGTCCTAGCACAAGCATTTTTTAAAGAGAGGTCTTTCTTTCTTCCTCTCTTTCTTCTTTCTCTCTCTCTCCTTAAAATACTACCTAGAGTTACCTAAGGAGCCGTCTTATTTTTTAAATTAATTTTTATTTCATATGCATTGATGTTTTTGCCTTCATGAATGTCTGTATGAGGTGTTGGATCCCCATGAACTGGAGTCACAGACAGTTGTAAGTTGCCATGTGGGTGCTGGGATTGAACCGAGGTCTTCTGGAAGAGGAGCCAGCACTCTTTTTTTTGGCGGGGGGGGATGTTCACAGGACTTTCTTAGATTTAAAGCTGTAAACCATGTTAATCATCTAGATGGGAAAGACACATTTCACAATTCCGAACACGACTTTATAATCTGCATGCTGGGGTAACACCCTATGTACCCATCTTGCCAGAATCCACTCCCATGACACCTGTCAACATGCCCATCATTTGCCAAGCCAAACTTTCTCTCTCATCTTGAATCCAGTGTCAGCTAACTTTTCCCTCTCCACCTGGGGCATCAGCCTAAAGCCATGTGCTGTGCATCCTCTGACCAGACACCTGTGCCTTTTCTAAAGCATCCTCCAGCGTCCATGTCCACACGAGGCTTCTGACATTTGCCCATAACCAGTGACATCTCCGACACTTGCACATAATGGTCTTGCTATAGATGTACTGATTGTCGCCTCGATGGAAGTGAACAGTACCAAAGAAGGCCTTCCCTGGCTTCCTAATGGCTTTCAGCATCTCCATAAGCTCATCACAATGTTTGCACATGCCTTCCACGTGGAGAGTAACACCGTAGCCATAACTCTCCCGAGGGGCAGGGTGTCTAAGGCTGTCAGTGTGGTGTTGGAGTTTCTTCTGGGTATACACGGAGATTTGTTTCCCATAGAAGCTGAACTTGGTGAGCTGGGGGCAGTTGTGATATGGCGATCCTCAATATGACAGTCCTCTAAGTCCAGGGCCACCAGGGTGGGTCCAGTTTTTACTAACAGAATGCAGTGGGATTCAGGACTTAAATAAGTTAACCTGACATTTTCCAAATTCAGTTGCTGCCACTGACTGACGCGTGGGGCCTCAGAACGACAGTTCCAGTCTGATACCGAGAGTGTGCAATGAGTCACGGCCAGGTCATCCAAGGGGGTTCTCATGGACCCATGCAGCTGGTGCAGGAGGCCCTCAAGGAAGGGGACAGTATCCAGATGCAGCTTCTGGAGACACTTCAGCTTGAGGAGCTGCGGGGTGAACCCAGTGATGAGATGCCTCCTCTCCTCTGGGGAGATAAAGTTATCTTCATGGATGCTGGCGAGGGAGAGCTTGCACAGGTTCCTCACATGGCCCAGGCAAGGAGCCAAGTTAAGCAAGAAAGCTGGGTTGCAGGAGAAATGAAGGCCCAGTGCTTCTACATACTCCAGGCTCACGTTTTCTGAGAGCCTCTTGTTATATTGGGATGGTGACTAAATCTGATACCATCACCCCACTGCACGAGGTAGGAGGACCGCTGGCTAAGGGGTCCATCCCGGAGAACCAAGCCCACTGCCTCCTTTAAGGGCTGCTCCACTCCTGCTTAGAATGGCCTGCCACTGCTCGAGTCTCGCTTGAGGTCTGTGGTAACCGGTCATCCATGGACCCAGGCCAGACATCCAAATGGTTCTTCCGGCCCGCAGGCCATCAACCCAGCACTTTCAGTTTGTACTCCCTGGGGTGAGCCTTCTGGATAAGCAGTTTATCAATCTCTTCTAGGACAACTTGTACTTGGATCTCCAAGAAGATTGTTCTCCTTCTCAAAGCTCCCAGAGGGAGTGAGGGGAAGGGTCAGGAAGATACTATAGTCCTCAGGACCTCAGCATGATTACCATCATAGGCTTGCTTAGACAGTTGTGGTTAAGAGTACTATGGGTAGGCTCTTTAGAACAGTGTTGGCCAAGGTCTCATCTCTCAGCAGGCTCTGCCCAGCCAGGTCCTGGAGTGTGAGAAGGGTCTTACTGCTCATGTTGGTGACTCTTCAGGAAAAAAGTTCCCGGAAAAGCATCAGATGTGACAGAGAACTTTCTATCCCAGTCATCTAGGTACGACTATGAGCTTCTGGACCGTGGGCTACCTCCCCATCCCAAAGAGAGAAGTTATAATTTAATGATAAAACCAATGGCAAAAAAATGCCTAGAGGAATTATTTAAAAGATTTATTATATGAGTGCTCTATCTGCATGTATACCTGCACACCAGAATAGGCCACCAGATCCAGATCTCATTGTAGATGGTTCTGAGCCACCATGTGGTTGCTGGGGATTGAATTCAGGACCTCTGGAAGAGCATCCAGTGCTCTTAACCTCTGAGCCATCTCTCCAGCCCCCAAGAGGAATTTTTTAAAGGTTTTTTTTTCCTTTCTTTTTTTTTTTTTGAGAAGTCATAATTTCAAAGTAATAATTACATTGGCAGCTTCCATGGAGGATTGGAGCGGAGGCATTCCCTCCACCCCCACCCCACAGAAACCCCTGTCACTGCTTTAATACTTTATACAGATCTTACCCTCACAGGGTTTCAGAGATCTCAACATTTTGAGGAGGGCCTTCACATGTTTTCTGCTAAGACTGTAGCTGTATTTAACATTTATTCCTATTGTAATTTTTTTCACTTGATTTCCATTTTCTAGTATTCTGGTTGCTATAGACAGATTTTTTTTTTCAAGATAGGGTTTGTTTTTGAAACAGCCCTGACTGTCCTGAACTCACTTGGTAGACCAGGCTGGCCTTGAACTCACAGAGACCTTCCTGCCCCTACCTCCCAAGTGCTGGGATTAAAGCCACCACTACCCAGCTAAGACAGGTTCTTATTATATAGTTCTGGCTGGCCTGGAACTTAGTATGTAGACCAGATTGGCCTTGATTTTACAGAGATCTGCTGGCTTCTACCTCTGAAGACACATGCTACCAAGACTGACTGGGTTTTGATTTTTGACACATGGTGGCTCTGAACTCATGATCCTGCTTCTCCACCTCCCAAGGGATGGAATCATGGACATGCACCACCTCATCTAAACAAGGGAGGTAGTTTTAAATGAGGTCTTCTCACTTTAAGAGTAATGGCGAGCTGGGCAGTAGTGGTGCATGCCTTTAATTCCAGCAACTCAGCACTTTAATTCCAGGCAGAGGCAGGCAATCTTTCTGAGTTCGAGACCAGCTTGGTCTTCAGAGCCAGTTCTAGAACAGGTTGCAAAGCTACACAGAGAAACCCTGTCTCAAAAAACAAACAAAAATAAATAGTAACGGTGAGTGTGTAGAGTAAGCATGGTGGTGATTCCAACACTCCCCACACAGAAGCGGGTCAGCCTGGTCTACATAGAGAGATCCCTTCTCAACGAAACAAGAATAGCACGAATGTGTTTGTAGAACAGCTTGACAAAGCTTAAATTAAGTAAACATGGAATAGTACCCAGTCAGTTTCAGTCCTAAATATGTGCCACAGCTTCTTACAAAGGCCAACTGGATGACAGGCACTTAAGAGAGGTGTACATTGTCACATGGAGTTATCTCCAGACACAGCCCTTCGTCCTGGTTCTAAACCTAAAACAGTAGCCCAAACGGCAGGAGACCAGAAAGGGACACACCAAGGTTACCCTGCCTCCTCAGTCTCCTTCCGGGTCTCTATGAAGCCCCATATTTCAGTGGGCTTGGCCAAGGCTTGTTGGAGAACGGGACTGTAGTCTAAAAAGAAAAATGAAGATGGTGAGGAGGCACACACACTTTTAGTCCCAGCACTCTGATGGAAGCTGTTCTGGTTTACACAATTATAGGTGAGACTTTGTATCAAAATCTTGAGATTTGCTAACTGGGTGAACAAATATGTAGCTGTCCTTCTACATATCCTGTATCAAGATAGAGGAAGACTGACGTCAGCAAGGGGCAGTGGCAGGTCAGGGGCAGGCTTCTGTCCACACTGGGATACGGGTCTTCAACAAGAGGAAACCGAGGCATTCACAATTTCACTGGGCGACCAGAAGGCTGGCTCTGCAGAAAGAGGCGCTGGGCAAGAGGCCACGCCCTTTCTTTTAACGCCCCTCCCTCCGGACTCCGCCTAACACTGCGGCTTCCGGCTGAGAAAGAGCGTTCGCCTGCCGCCCCGCGCCTGCGCAGCGAGGCCAGGTCAGGGCGCAGGCGCAGTGCGTCGTTTCCCCCGCTGCTTGCTGCGGTACACTCCTCACTTCATTCAGTGTAAAATCGTGAAGCAGAAAGATGGTGCTGGACTTGGATTTGTTTCGGGTGGATAAAGGAGGGGACCCGGCCCTCATTCGAGAGACGCAGGAGAAGCGCTTCAAGGACCCGGGGCTGGTGGACCAGCTGGTGAAGGCAGACAGTGAGTGGCGACGATGTAAGTGCCTAGATGCTCGCGGCATCTCTCGAATCCTCAACTCAGCCATCGCGTCCGAGGCCACCACTTACACCTTTTGCCAGATGCTCTCTGGCCTGGCGGGCTCCAACACCGCCTGTCCCTAGAAGAGGCTGGGAACCCGGCTGGTCCCACTCTCCCGGCAGCTCCGGCGGCCCCTGGTCCCTCCCGCGCGTGCTCCGTGCCTCCTGTGCCTCTAGAAGGAGCATCGCGCACGCGCAGGGAGAACTGTCAGGCTCTTGGGTAGCTAGAAGAAAGCCAGAGCTGGAGTTTTAATTGAGGGCCAGTAGAAATTTCTTTTCCTAACGTTTTGGTCGTTCTCAGTGTTTTCTTATCCTCAACAAAGCCAGCGTGGTCTTCCCGGTTTTGATGGGATCAAAGGCTACTATCTCAGATTGAGTGACATCTGCCGCACCCCATTCGAACCATTCGGGGAATTTGGAGGCTGCTCTTGACTAAAAGCAATGATCCCGAAGTTTTGGGGATGGCCATTCCTCTAACCCTGTGGGCATACCTTTAAGAATCAGGCTTTTCCGTGCTATTTCAGACAGGAGGGAGGGGTGCTGTAAGGCAAGAAAAATCTTGTAATAACTGAGGATGGTTGTGACTTGTGGTAGCTTTCTGGGAAAGACGTTGCCAGAGTAGAAGTGACCCAGCATCATTCATGAAATTAAATAAAGCTCCGGATTCTTCTGCCTCCGAGTGTGCCTCTGGAGTGATCACCTGGCAGACCGGATGTTGTCGGTGGCATGTGACTCGTTTTGTCTGATGCAATAGGTCTGTAACCAGCTGAGAGCCTGGTTTATAAGAGAACACGCTGCAAAGGCTGTCACGATCCAAGAGTGTCATGTTTGTTTTGGTGTGTTTTATTTTTTTAGTTTTAGCGACATTTTTCTGTGCACCCCTGGCTGTCCTGGAACTTGTAGACTAGGCTGGCTTGGAATTCAGAGATCTGCTTGCCTCTGCCTCCTGAGTGCTTGGATCAAAAGTGTGCGCCACCATGCCTCTGAGTATTAATGGTTTTACCTTTTGAGGACATTAATTTTACTGTTAAAAAAAGTTCTTGGGTATCAAAAAAAAATTGTCTTAGCTTACAGTTGCATTCATTCAGTGTGCTCCAAGTACTCTAATAGGATGTTTTGTAAAAGACTGCACTCCAATGTAAAGTTTTGAATTGTTCCAATCTGAAAATGTTTCCATTTTTGTTTGTTTGTTTAGTATAAAAATATTTAAGCCAAGGGTGGAGGTGCCTGCCTTTAATTTCAGCACTCAGGAGACAGAAGCAGGTGGACCTCTTGAGTTTGAGACTAGCCTGGTCTACATAGTGAGCTCCAGGCCAGCCAGGGCTACATGATGAGATCCCATCTTGGAAAGAAGAGAAAGAAAGAGAAAATATTCTGAACTGGAGCTGGTGGCATTAACCTATAATCCTAGCACAAGGGAGACTGAGGCAGGAGGGCCCGCATTTGAAGGCCAGCATAACCTTCCTGAAAAACAAGACACACACGTGACCACCTTGTGTTGAATCATAACCAGAAGTAGCATTCTGTAGCCATTTAGGCATTGAGCAGGCAGCCGTTGCTGTCACTTCAAACATGTTAGGTAGTCTCGTATATAACACACACATTGAGGAAATTTGACCCTTGTCTGTAGAGACGATTGGTGGGCTCCTTAGGGATCCATAAGCTGGGCAGATATTAAAGGACAACTTTAAAAAGTGAGCATTTGTCTTTAGTCCAGGCTCGTCTCCTCTCCTCTTGTCTCAGCTTGGAGTGCAGGGTCGGACTCCCACACCTGTTTTAGGGGTGGTGAACATGGATTAAACTAGGACCATTGGGAGTTATAAAAAGAGAACCCGAAGTTGGGAGAGACACAGGTTGGTGGGCTCTGTGGGAAACTGAGGAGAGTTAGGTGGCTAAAATATTTTTTATTAATATTTTTCTCCAGCCTGGTCTCCAAAGCTGAAATTTTTTTTTTAAAGAAAGGCATATAAAGGGAAAAAAAAGATTTTACTTTTTCAGACAGCGTCTCTTGTAGTCCCTTTATAGTTGAGATTGACCTTAAACTGATCCTGCTTCTTACCTCCCTGATTCTGGGATTGCAAGTGTGCACCACCATACTAGGCTTAAAGGTGTGTGTGCATGTGGGGCTGTGCCTTATGGGTTTTGAACCTATGACTTTAGCATACGCTGGATAAGTGCTCTACAACTGAGCTATGCCCAGCCTTCCTTCAAAAGAAATATTTGTTTGTTTGTTATAATCTGGACTCTTGCTATGTTGCCTGTTCTGTCCTCCAACTACACTCACACACAGCCATGCCTTTATTTTTTAAATTTTATTTGAGACAGTCTCAAGTCTCAGGATGCAACCCTGGCTGGCCTCACTCAAGATCCGCCTTCCACTGTGTCTGAAGTGCTGGGATTAAGAAAATATCACACCCAGTTGTCAATTCTGGAACCAGTACACTTTGTTCTAGAAAGCAGTTAAGTGTTTCCGTGAGATGAACAGAAGGAGATGGCTCTCTGGAGCCTGGCTGAAGAAAGTAGAGACAAAAGACAAAAGGCAGATCAGTCACCTCGAACCTAACAGAAAGGAAATAGTTTCAGTTTGACGACATGGAACTTTAACATGGGCTGTCTCCATTTTGGTTTTTAGTATGGTTTGTTGGAGTTATGAAACAGTGGCCTCCCGTAATTTTTTAAAAACATGCACATACAACATATACACATATGCAAACATATACAATGTTCCAGTGTTCAGCAGCACACCTCATGCTTAGAGGGTATGATAAAGGTTTGTGACTTGTATGAAGATCTTCTGTGCCCAGGGCACTTTAAATTCTGCATGGAAGTTTGTTTCATTTTGGTGTTTTATTTTTTCAGACGAGGCTTCCTCACAGTGTAACCCAGTCTGACCCCAAATGGACAGACCCCTGCCTCAGTGCAACCGTACCTGGCTGTTAAAACGTCTAAAAATTATCATCAGTGTTATTGCTGGGCTAAGCATTAAAGCCAGGGCCGCCGGGCTGTGGTGGCGCACAACTTTAATTCTAGCACTTGAGAGGCAGAGGCAGGCGGATCTCTGTGAGTTCCAGGCCAGCCTGGCCTACAGAGTGAGTTCTAGAACAGGCTCCAAAGTTACAGAGAAACCCTGTCTCAAAAAACAAAACAAACAACAAAAAACCTCAGGGTCTTCAACGGGCTAGGCCAGCACTCTGCTACTGAACTATATTCCCAGCCCTCTTTACTTTTCTCGTGAGGGGACAGACATTAGTGTTACCTCTGCGATTTGTGTTTTGGTTGGGTATGAGAGTCTTTAGGGAACATGACTTGTGGAGTGGTACAGCACAGAGGAGCTGTCATTTGTGTAGGGGATCAGTCACTGGGAATGAGCAACCATGTCTCCAGATTCGTCTGCCGTTAAACCTGTGAAGCCTCTTCCGGCAACCAGGAAACTCGAACTTGACCTGTGTAGGGTTTCCATCATGCGCCTTCTTCTGAAAGATGGCAGAGATGTACACGGTGACCTGACCACTGTCCCCTGAGACTTCAAAGTCTCTCTGCATACCTACCTGGAATCCAGACTGAGGACATCGTGAGATCAGAGATGTGACTAGCCACCAGATAACTCTGTTTCTCTTAGAACATTCCAGCAAGCAACAGATCGCATGCACTCCCAAGGAGAATACTGTGTGCAGCCATTGCACACAGGTCCCTGTGAAAGAAATTTGGTTGACTTAATTGACCGCGGATGCTTTAAAAATATCTTCTGTGTATGTCCCTGAGTGTATGTGCGTATATAGCACATGCTTGCAAGAGCTTGTGGCAAGTGCCAGGTCTCCTTAGAACTGGAGTTATAGGTGGTCGTGACTGCCTGGTGGGGGCTGGGACCCAAACCTAGGTCGTGCAAGAGCAGTGAGCCCTCTTGAATGTTGAGTCCCCTCTCCAGCGCTGTAGACACTTTTTATTTTTTAACAAGGTCTCCCTAAGGAACCCAAGTAGCCTTGAACTCCTCTGTAGCCCAGGCAGGCCTTATTTAGACTTATGACCTAATGGTCTCTGCTTCTCAAGTGGCCAGGATCCCAGGAGTCCCTGGCTGGTCATGTTGGACACCAACAGATCCTGTGTTAAGATCTTAAACATCTTGAATTTCATATTAGAGGATGGAGTTTCTTCCACCGTTGTTGGCAACAAGAACTTAGAAGCGCTGTCAAGGAAGAGCTCAGGTGATGCTTCCTGATGGGGTCACGAGCTTCCGTGCAGGTTCTGTGTTGCGGAGTCTGGAAGAGGCTGCAGGACTCCGTGGAGAATACAGCTGTCTGTAATACCACAGCTGTAACTCCCATGGTTGAGCTGCAGTGAAACAAGGCTACATCTGGGGGCATTTGTCGGCTGGCCCCCAGACTGCTTGATTGCAGTGTCTGAAATAGGCAGCCAACCACGAGAATTCCGCCTTCTAGAATGTACTGTCCATCCCATTGAAGAATGAAATTTCTTTTTATTATCAATGGAAGACAGGCCCTGGCTCTGACCTCGGTCCCCACAGTCAGACGAGCTCTGAGACGGCTTTCCCTCTCACCCCAGTCCCAGTTCCAGGCAGGTGTCTGCGGTGCAGATCTCACCCTTGGGTTTACAGACCGAAGTCTTACACTCTTGCTTCACGGAGATAGCGAAGGACTGGGACTTGAGCCTTCAGCTCACAGAGCTCCCCTGCCTCTGCTTCCCCTCACCACCACACCAGACTTTCTCCACTGATTATTGAGACAAGGTCATTCACGAAACTGGAGTTCACCCATTGGACTGCACTGGCTGTCCCACAAGCTTTCACAGCAGACACTGACAACAGAGCCATCTTTAGCTCCTGTGTGTCCGTCCACTCCTGTGTCAGCATTTATTTCTGTTGAGCATGTATCCAAGAGTAGAAATAGGGTCAGAGATGGCAGATATTTGGTAGATACTGTCAATTTTCCAAAGTAACTGTAAGGATTAGTGTTCTGTGTTCTGTCAAGGCTGGCCTTGAACTCCAGCCACAGTCTTCCGTGATTTGAGGTACTGCCGCTCCCAGACCTGACTCCATTTTGGCTGTAACTAGCGCTGGGCATTGCGTTAGTTTCCATGAGCCTGGCCATTATTACTTCATGGTGGAGTTCCAGATCATATGCTATGGTGCAAGAGACAAAAGATTGAGACAGAAGAAGCAAACTCATGATTTGCATATGACTTGATTATAACATGCAGGACTGGAATTATTCCTTAACTAACAAGGCCACTGGATATAATAAACAGAATCAGTGCTGTGTTGTTTATAAGTAGGGGTTAGAAAAGTTAGCACCTCGTCCCTTTAAATGAACTTGAAGACAATCGGGCAGGCTTCAGAGAAGTGTCCCTCAGGTGGCTCGGTTGTATTGCTCTGTGCTGATCTATCAATTATGATTCCTTTGTGTTGTTTTTAATTTTGTGTATGTGTGCATGTGCCCAGGTGTCTGGGATGCTGTGCACAGGAGTGCAGGTGCCTAGGGAGGCCAGAGGCATCGGATCCCCCTGGAGCTGCAGTTACAGGCAGTTGTGAGCTCTGTGGTGTGAGTGCTAGGGACCGAACCCGGGGCTTCTAAGGAAGCTGTACGTGCTCTTTACCTCCGCCACCTCTCCAGCCCCACGTTCTGACACTTCAGTTTCAACCCCAGACTGCCTGTCCTTGTCACCAAGTACTGGGGATACCCTAGTGCATTCGTCTCTGTCAGCTAACTGTAGAGGTCTAAAGCAGAGGTCAGCACTGGGTTAGTCAGCTTTTTGTCAGAGATGGAAAACTTGGGTATGGTAGTGCGCTCCAGGAAGCAGAGGCAGGCAGCTCTGAGTTTGGGGCCAGCCTGGTCTACAAAGTGAGTTCCCAGTCAGTAATGACTATGTAGAGAGACCCTGTCTCCCCCTGCAAAAAAAAAAAAAAAAAAGATGGAAGAAATCAAATATTGTGGCACCTGACTGTAATCCCAGCACTTGAGAAACAGGCAGGAAGATTGTCAGCAAGTTCTAGGCCAGCCAGAGCTATGTAGCAAGACCCTGTCATTAAACAGAAAAAAGAGCCGAGCTGTGGAGGCGCACGCCTTTAATCCCAGCACTCGGGAGGCAGTGGCGGGCGGATCTCTGTGTGTTTGAGGCCAGCTAGTTCCAGGACAGGCTCCAAAAACTACAGAGAAAGCCTGTTTCAAAAAACCAAAACAAACAAACAGAAAAAGGCCACTCACCTTGTAGCAGTTAGGAAGTAAAGGAAGAGAGGCCTTTGGTGCGTGAGGCGAAGTGTGTGACTTCCCTTTAGGTTCCCTTGTAGTGCCTACACCTTCCAATTCTGCCAAACTGAAGACCAAGCCTTTATGACATAGCATAGAGCCTTTGTGGGAGGGGCCATCACGGTCAGGGAGTATCTTAACGATGAGCCTCGCTGACATATTTTTGACTTCTTTGGTTTTAGGCAGATTTCGGGCAGACAACTTGAACAAACTAAAGAACTTGTGCAGCAAGACTATTGGTGAGAAGATGAAGGTATGAGAACCAACAAGCTTGGGCTGAAGTCGAGCTGGTGGATCTGTTCTTGTTTATTATGTGTCTAAGTGAGTGCCTGTGTGTGTAGGGGTCCATGGAGGCCAGAGGAGGGTGTTGTATCATTCATATGTATACATGTGCTACATCTGCGTGAGCCAGAACCAGTGCAGAATGCAGCAGGAGGTCTGACTGGGAATTCCTGATAGCTTGCATCCTTAGATCCCATAGTCATTAGGACTTTTTTTTTAAGATTCATTTATTCATTATTTATACATTGTTCTGCAGGCCAGAAAAGGACACCAGATCTTACTACAGATGGTTGTGAGCCACCATGTGGTTGCTGGGAATTGAACTCAGGACCTCTGGAATAGTAGGCAGCTCTTAACTGCTGAGCCATCTCTCCAGCCCTCATTAGGACTTTTATACTCATGTGTACGCTACCTAAGTATCCTTCAGATCCTCTACACAGACAGTGCTAGCCAAGCCAAGCGTTTCACTGTGTGTGAGGACCAGAAATGGTGACCTGCAGTAATGAGTAGAGAAACTGGGGATGCCCCCCCCCCGCGTTTTGTCATGTTACCTTGATTGTTCCTCTCCTCACCTCCATCCATGTTTAACCCCTAGCTTGTTGCCCAGTGGTTCCTAGAGTGTTAACAGATTCTATCCTCAGGGCCCACCTTTGACTACCACATTGGTTTTTTGATTTGTTTTTCTTTTGAGCCATGGTTTTACTATATAGCCCTGACTGGCCTGGAACTGGCTATAAAGACCAGCTAGTCTTGATCTTACAGCAATCCTCCTGCCTCTGTGTCCCAGGTGTCTTTCAGTTCATGAGCATTTCAAAGACCTTCATGGTTCCTTGGCTGTTCTGTGTGTGGGAAAAGCTCTTCTCACTCTAGGATGTCAGCGCTCTCGGCTGTCCGGGATCAGGAAGGAAGCCTTGATGGAAAGGACTGGAAGCTGACTCTGCCTTTCTTCCTGTTAACTGACTTCCCTACATGTTTCGGCTTACTTAATGTAGCACAGTCTGATTAGTTTATAGGATGTGTTAATTTGGCATGCACTTCATAAAACAATGTCAGTTTTTATTTTTAATTAAATTGCCTTTTCTTTCTCCCTGCAGAAAAAAGAGCCAGTGGGAGATGACGAGTCCGTTCCAGAGGACGTGTTGAATTTCGATGACCTTACTGCAGACACGTTAGCGGTAGGTTTCTGCCCTCTTCTAAGATGTCTCTGTTCCTTTTTTACCCTCATTCCCGGAGAGAAGAGCTGGCTCCACATCCATGCAGCATTGTGGCGGCCTTGAATTTCTGTGCAGGACTGTGTTCCTAACTGCTCTTGTTATCCTCTGCCGGAGACTCATTAGTCATAGGAGGTCGGTGGAGTGGGGAAAGGAAGGAGAATAAGAGAGAAGGCACCAAAACTAACTCGTTGTATGTTAGCTCCATTTTCTGCTTTCTTCCACAAGGGAAGGAATTCCTCAGTTTACTGCAGTTAAGCAGTGGGTTCAGGATGGTAACTTTCTGGTTTTGTCACCAAACTTTTCTTTGAAACCCCTAACACATAGCAAGAGTATAATATAAACCAGAGAAGCAAAGATGCTGTGCTCGGAGGCCTGGGCGGGGCTCATTTCTATCCATCTCTATCTGGTAAGGGCTCCCCTGAGAAATCAGCACGGTTTGAAACATCTGCAATAAGGGATGCAAGACAAACTTAAGGCATAGTCTCTTGTTCCTAATAAAGTTAACTTCCTGGAGAAGTTTGGATGGGAATGCATAATAGAGTGGTAAACTGGTTCAGTCTGGAAAATTAGAAGTGCAAATTGAGGGGAAATTCTTTTAGAGCCAGGATTAAACTCCTGGGATGGATATGAAGCACAAGGAAAGCCGATCTGCACGTTTCTGGCCCCCGAGGAAAAAGCAAGTGCTCAAGCATTTTATGGCAGGACTGCCCACCTGTGGATCAACCTGTGCTTTCAAATGCATTCATTTTCAGTACCTACTGCTATTTTGGAGCAGGGTCTCATAAAGCCCAGGCTGGCTTCAGACTCACTATGTACTCAGGGTTAATCCTGACTCCTCCACCCACTGAATGCTGGGTTCCAGGTTGGCCTGGATTTTGCAGTCCTCCTGCCTCAGCCTCCTCAAACTCAGAGATCCACCTGCCTCTGCCTCTCAAGTGCTGGGATTAAAGGCGCGCGCCACCACCACTCAGCTTCCATGTCCATTTTTAAAATGCTACCACTGTGTGTAGTGTGGGAGATGGTTGGGTGATATTTTATTGCTGCCCTGCCTCTGCTTTGTGGACTCTATACGTGAGTCTGGCTTGTTCTTCTGCAGGCCCTGAAAGTCTCACAAATTAAAAAAGTCCGACTCCTTATTGATGAAGCCATCCAGAAGTGTGATGGGGAGCGGTTAAAGCTGGAGGCGGAGCGGTTTGAGAACCTCCGAGAGATTGGGAACCTTCTGCACCCCTCTGTGCCCATCAGTAATGATGAGGTAGGTGGGGCTGGGCTTACTTATTGCCTGGCTCTGTGGAAGGAGAGCCGCTCAACACTGGCGCTCTGTCGGAAAAGGCTGCTTTTGTGTGTTCCCTCTGCCCACCAATTGAGCATTGCCGGAGTCAGATCCCAGCCTGATTGGGAAGTGGCAGAGACAGCAGGTAGGAGGGGACTCCTGGCACAGAAATCTCTTCTAAATGGCGCTGCTGTCTTACACTGCGTGTTGCCCCTGGTTGCAGTAAGTCCTGTGGGAGGGACCTGCTAAATCAACCTAACCCCCCTCTCACCCACCCCCCGCTGGGAAGCTGCAGTTTGAAGGGAAATCTGCATGAGAAAAGTTTCCTGCCGAGTGGGAGCTTCCCCTGCACAAAGCTGCTCTGAGCCCCGGCTTTGTTCCCAGACACCCTAGCAGTGGCAGGGCCCATCTGTGCCTCTTTCATTCATTCCCTTGTGAACACTAAACTCGCGACCGGCTGGGGTATGTGGAGGCCTTGGAGCCTCAGCAGACCGAGGTCAGGGCCCAGAGCCCACCCTCATGTGGCTCAGAGACCAGTGAGAGCCTACAAAGAGAAAAAAAGTCCCGCATTCTCCTCTGTACCCCAGGTGATGCTGATTGTCAGAGACGTTCCCGCGCAGGATATTTGAGGAGCCATTTAAAAGGGTAAAGAGAAAGTTTACACTAGGTCGCAGAGCAAATCAGGGTTCCCAGTTTGCCGACTAGGACCGCTTTTGTGACTTTGTAAATGGCTTGTCTGTTGAGCAGCAAACTCTCTTCCCCATTGGTTGTGTGGGAGACCAGGAGCTGACCCGTGTTTAGGCGATGCACGAAGGCCCTGCTGCTCTTGGCCATGCGTCCCTTCTTGGTTTGTTTCCTCAGGACGCAGACAACAAAGTAGAGCGCATCTGGGGTGACTGTACCGTCAGAAAGAAGTATTCCCACGTGGACCTGGTAGTGATGGTAGACGGCTTTGAAGGCGAAAAGGGAGCCGTGGTGGCTGGCAGCCGAGGGTACTTCCTGAAGGTAAGATTTGAGAGCCTGTAGGGAGTAAAGAAGGAATGAAAAAAAAAGTCGCCAAAAATGGTAATCACACTTAAAGAGGCTCACAAATCCTCCACTTGTACTCGATGCCTGCCTGTGAACGTGTAGCAATTAGATGCAATTCTCTTTCTGAGGCAAGAGAGTGCTTACCCAGATTCCGTAGAACAAAAGCCACTCAGTGATCCTTCATAATGAATATGTTTTGCTGACTGAATCAGAACAGTCTTTGCCATTGAGGAGCTCAGTGTAATTGGACAGTCAGACAAGTAACAAAGAATCAAAACCCAGTGTGGAAGCCTGCGGTCGAAGTAGACCCAGCATGCTTTGAGCCCTGGTAGGTGGAGGCTGCTGGCACAGATTAACCTGGGGCAGAGGGCATATGAATTCAGAGAATCCTTCCGAAAGGAAATGGTAAAATGCTTTTGTAAGTGTTGCGCGCTTAAGCATTCTGCATTTACAAATGAGGCTGATGTTTTAAGAATTAGCACACACAAACACCCGTGTATGCACCCTGCCTACATAATTCCCTCTACTTGGGTCTGTTTTCATGGGGCTAGGGTGGAGGTGGGAGAATGTGGAGACAGGGGCTCCAGATTCACAGCAGTTCTCCTCAGCCTGGCAGGACCTGTGATTACTAGTGTGGTCCACTGCTTGAATCTCTAAGCAGAGAGAAGTCGCTAGGCCGGGTGACATACTGTTGGCCTTCGGTGTTTAAGAATCTGTATACTTCCCATCTGACTTGCGTGGTGATCTGTGGTTGTGTGAGTGGGACTGAGCTGGAGAGGTGCTCATCATGCTGATTCCAAATAACAGTACATACCAATTACCAGAGCAGCAAGGAGGCGAACAGGTACCGCGTGGAGCTTAGGAAGAGAACAAAGCCCGTTAAACCGCTCTTCTGGGCAATCACTGCAGCCAGTTTCCACCATCTTAGCCACCAAGAGAAAGCCCTGTTAGTGAAGTGAGCGAAGTGTTCTTTCCTGAAGCTGAAGAACTCAAGAAGCAGACTGAGTTGTATGTTAGCATCCTAAAACCAGGCATTTACAGTTTAGGATTGAATAATTTTGAACAACGTTGATTATCCTTTTAATACTTGGTATTGAGTTGGAAAAAAACTGTGACGTGAAAATTGGTCTCTTCGGTTGAGTTCAATTAATATTGTAAATGTTTCCAAACATGAGTTTTTAATGGACCAACCAAATAAAATACCACATTAAAACCAGTGTCTCCTGGCTGGTGTTGCAGTTTGTAGTCTAAGTTTCCCTACGGGAGCCACTAGGTAGTCCTGCTGCCCATTGTTGCCGACTGTTGGTTCTGGTTGGTGGAGTGGCAGATGAGGGGGCTGGTGACAAGACCCAACCCCAGGTGCTCTGTCCTCTGTGTCTCCGCAGGGGGTCCTGGTGTTCCTGGAGCAGGCGCTTATCCAGTATGCACTCCGGACTTTGGGGAGTCGAGGCTATACTCCCATCTACACCCCCTTCTTTATGAGGAAAGAGGTCATGCAGGAGGTGGCGCAGCTCAGCCAGTTTGATGAAGAACTTTATAAGGTAAGCAGCTTGGTAGACAGACTGTCGTAGTGAGGCTCAGTGGTGGCACGGACCCTCTCCAGTGCAGCTTTCTGCCATGGGGGACTGCTCTAGTGTGCCGTATAGCCATGGGGGACTGCTC